AGTCACCGCCGTGGCACAAGCGTTAACGCGCCGAACCGCGGTTGATTAGGTACTGTCATGTAACCTCTCAATGGTGAATTGAGAGAAGCCTATGTCCTGGAATGAATGGCGTACATGTACATATATATACATATACATACACATACATGCGCGCGCACGCACACACATACACACACACATGTGTGTGTGTGTGTATTTGACTGCCGCGATCCGACCCTCGTGGTCTGGTCTGGCTCGAGCCCGAGAAAATGACATATCGCCTTGAGAAGTCAAACGCAGGTGTCATAGGGGAAGTCACCGCCGTGGCACAAGCGTTAACGCGCCGAACCGCGGTTGATTAGGTACTGTCATGTAACCTCTCAATGGTGAATTGAGAGAAGCCTATGTCCTGGAATGAATGGCGTACATGTACATATATATACATATACATACACATACATGCGCGCGCACGCACACACATACACACACACATGTGTGTGTGTGTGTATTTGACTGCCGCGATCCGACCCTCGTGGTCTGGTCTGGCTCGAGCCCGAGAAAATGACATATCGCCTTGAGAAGTCAAACGCAGGTGTCATAGGGGAAGTCACCGCCGTGGCACAAGCGTTAACGCGCCGAACCGCGGTTGATTAGGTACGCACGGTTACTGGTAAAGTTAACAGAATATCAAAAAAGTAGTGTGACGTAAAAGGAAGTACCACTGATAAATAACGTCATGTGATAGCGACAAAGTAATTCACACTCCTTACTAACAAACTCAGTTACGGCTTAGGAGAATGATCTCTGTAACTACCAAACCTTTCTCATAACAATTAAATATAGCTATAATCATATAACACAGAGCAAGATTTACTAGCAAATCCTGTGTCACTGCACGTCAGACTAAAATAAACGTATCTTACAGGTATTTCCGGTGCAAAGCATATTTGTCAAACATCACCGGAAAGTTTCGCAATAAGTCTATGCTAAAAACTGTTTAACCTAGGTGTCTGGGTTCGCTTATGGAATCAGAGCGGTCAGGTCAACGGAAACATACTATGGTCTGCCGTTTTCCAGACCGTCTGATCCTGGCAAGGTCGCCAATGTCAGGGTTTGTTTTAAGGAATCAGAGCGGTCAGGTCAACGGAAACACACCAGAGGAAACATACACAAGGATTTAATGATAAGGCACTAAAATACACTACACAAACACAGGTTATATACAAACTGAAGGGAGAGGATCCAGCGGAGCAGGCGAGGTCAACTAGCGGAAGGAAGCACACAAGTCAAAGTCACGGGACAACTACTGAACAGAACAGATAATGGAGCAAAGAGGTAAAGAAATCCAAAGGGGGGGGGGGGGATGTAAAGGCCGATACCCTTGTTCCCCAAACGGTGAGCGAGCCAATCGCGAGAGGCCAAAGCCCGCCGCCCGGACTGAGCAATCTCGCAGTTGTGACACTAGGAACGAACCTGTCTGAATATGAAAATAATGTTTATCAATTATGTCCTTAACGCACTGATTTGTTTTCTTGCCTATGTATTTTATATAATATTATTTGTTTCCCTGTCATACCTCTTCTTCCCATTATATTTTTCATTT